GTCTGACCTTTAATCTAAGGACTTCAAAGTCTGATAGACAAACAACACAGGTAAAAATGATACAGGTTTACTGCAGGATTTCATTAATACCAATATTGATGTTCAGCAGTGCAACATCAATTAACTAGATAAATGTTTGTGAAACATGTACATATGTCCCCGCTTCTGTTTGATCACTTTGATTCTGTTTCAACCAAAGACATGGAACTAAATGCCAAGTCAATGAAGCGGAAAATATATAGGTCACTGTGACCATCATTTGAAATTTGGCTGTAGTGGTCCTAAAGATGTATCAACATCTGAGGTTTGATGACTGTTGGCCTTAATCATTCACCCCTGAAATTTCATAATGAACTATGCCAACCTTTGAATTGGAAGAGTTCAATTGTGTCTTCAGGGGGTAAATGATTTAAAGTATTAGAATAATGAAGTTGAATGCAATTCAGTCTAACGAAAATGTTGTACAGGCGGACTAACAGACAGATGAGTGGAAAAAGCAACCACTTCATGTATGATGTTGCATCAGCATAAAATGCTCAAATAAGCAATAATTTAAAATTTATTTCGTCTGCAGTTATCTGAGTGGAACGATATCAATTTTCATGCCCTCTTGCATCCTAAAATGCCAGAAATCAAAGGTAAGAGTAATGCGTTCCATGGTCGTAAGTTGAATTTCAAAACACAGTATCATAGAGATTTAAACGGATTGAACATTTCACAGTACCCAAAAGAGTACTAACAATTTCCTGATATTAGTTGAAATTACATTTTTATTCTCGATTTATGATTCCCGGCTGCATAAACAATATAATCATTCATTTAATGTATCATCTTTATATGGAAACATTTTGCTTTGTAAACATTAAATCAAATCACTAAAGAGCATAAAACATATCATTTGCAATGGAAATTTACATCAATATTCCTTTCATGGCTGGCGTTATTGAAACAAATTCTAAAATTTCTAATGCAAAATTGACAAAAAAGAAGACTGAAGTAAAAACCCATGTTGCAATGAGTTTTCAAAAGATTTAAAAACAACAAACAATATATGGCTTTTGAAAACTAGATAACAATAAAAAAAAAAATCCGAATAATTAGGATGTTTTTTGTTTTATTTAACGAGCGTTACGGAACATGCAATGAAATATGGACAACTCATCAGTGTTCTCGCACCCCGGAGCAGTCCTTGTGATTGTCTTCAAGAATCATATTTTCATTCAAAAATCAATGGAAGAATCTAAAAATAAAACTCATTTAGGTAATGAGATTTCAAGTTGGGTCCACGTAGATGTTACAGAACTCTATTACATAACTCCCTCCACACATTTCTGTGGTGTGAATTTATTAGCTGTGGTTTCAGTCGAGGGGGTTCATTATCACGTTAGGATTAAGTGACGAGTGTCCGCTATAAGCGTGGTACTTGCGCGACACTGGAATTCAGATGGACATGTAACACTCCCTGATTTTCCTAAATGAACTCATTTAGTTATATAAATATAGTCGTACCCCATAATTCGTGATTTTACTGGTGTATTCTGTGGACAATGTGGCATGCTAATGTGCCGCACATTTTGATTTTGTTGATTTAAAGTATCATGCACTGTTAAGTTCAACTTTGTAATCCTCGTCTGATTAGGTTACCAAACAGTTCAAATCTGGAATTAATCTGCATGCACTGGATTAAACTCATTGCAACTATCGAACGACAAGCATAAAAATCTTATTGTTTACATGAATCACGTAAACTCCAGTGTTTTTATATTATTTTGTAATAACATGATCTTTAGTTTGCGATGTATTTTTTTCTATCATATCACTCACAAAAACTAAAAAATATCTTTAATGTCATGAATACTGCAACTTCGATGCAAATTGAGTCATTTCTTTACAATTTTCTATAAATAGAAACATTGATCTGAATTGGCCTTGACCTTAGAACCCCGAAATACATTAAACTCATTCTATATATCCTCATAATTATATAACCTTTGTATACAACTTTATCAAAATCTGTTACGAAATAAAATCACTTACGGGCAGAGGCAGATGGCACGTGACAGAACAGGACGCAAAGGGAAGAATAAGGGAAGGACATTGGTAATACTAATATATACCCTCTTCCCCTCCAAACATGATTGGATCATCGAAACCATGACAACAGGCTATGGAAGACAATGTACGCTATACACTATATACATCAATGATGCATGATGAAAGCCAGTGTTTGGTTTGGTGCGTTTGTGTTTTTTATGCTCTATTAATATATATATGGTCATTTAAGGACGTGCCAGGTTTTGGTGGTTGTGGAGGCAAACGGGAATGTCCAAAGAAAAACCACCCACCTACGGCCAGTCCTGAACACTTAGGCCTCAAACCCGCAACCAAGTGGTGGAGAACTGGTGATTGCAGACAGTCATGCAGACACCTCAACCACTCGGCCACCGCTGCCTCTTGTAAAGGTCTGTGATGTGATAGCATTAGGACCTTGTGACTTATCTTGACAATGTCTTCAAATGTCGATTGTACAGCTGAGATGAAAATAGAATCTCTGCCACAATTTCCATTTTTACAATATTCCTTTAAAAGTTATTTGAAAATTTGTTCAGTAGAAACTATTCTTTAAAATTATTTTATGATGGACAAATTAGAATTGTTCAATTAAAAACTATTAAATTATGAACTATTTGATTATAAACAATCAAATTATAAAATGTTGCATTATAAACTATTAAGTTGTTACATTTGAAGTTATTAATTTGACTGACAAAAGGAAAAAAAAAAAAAAAAAATGAATAGTTTTTATTATGCTTGCTATAAAATTCACAAAAAATTATATTTGGGACAAAATTTCTCGGTCAAATCAAAATGAAATTTTGCTTCTTTTCCCGAAACCAAATGAAAACAACCGGAACTTGATTGCCTCTCACATTTTCTCCACCCGATTCACTTTCTATGCTATTTCTTCAATTTAATCAAGACAAGGTTCAGACCAGGTTCTCCTTAAGACTCTTTAAAAATTCCATTATTGTCATATAATGTTTAGAGGACTCTTGTGAGTCATAACGACATATTTTCAAATGTGTTGACATTCCCACAAGCCATTAAATTTAACCATTTTTTAACCTCGATTAATAGGGAAAAGACTCCAAACAGACATTGCATATAACTAATTTGAAACACAATCTGAATTAGAATATTTAAGAAAATGAAAACGATGCACATCTTTTGTTGGAAGGACGTATTATCGAACTAACTCAAAGACAATGAAGCACAACCCAGTTACTCCCCTTTCAATTTTTTCTTTTATGAAAGAGTGGCCTCCCTTATAGCATTGCACTCTCCCACAATGCGATGAGTCTGTGTGATTCCAGCAAAGAAGTATAACTCCTGCAATCATGCTCATGTCTTACACAATGTGTAAATATTCAAGTGTTAACACAAAAACAAATGTCCACATAGCGATTCTGACGTTGCCGCTGCTGCTGCTGTGTTTGCTAAGATGTGTAAATGAAACTGACGACATTGAAGAGAAATTTTGGCGTTATAAAGAGGTTTGGCAATAAAATGAAGAAATCAAAAAGGAATTCATAAGAAAAAAAGAAAAAAAGGAACCTTGAGATGAGCTGGCGGTAAGCAGGGTGGTAAGTGAAACGAGGGGTATTATATCAACGTTCTACTGTATTTAGATTTTAACTCAATGCTAATTATTACACACGGTTGTTTTTGATAATATGCAACCAATTATAAACACATTTTCGTTTTTTTTATTCATGGACATAATTCTTGGCAAGTTTACACTTTCGTGAAAGGCTTTTGAGTTTCATATACATGTATAGAGAATGTATTCCTATAAACCAGAATTCAAATCACTTTCAACAACTTGCTGTATACAAGCTGAAGTAGTTGAATCAAGGGAGACAACCTTTACTGTGAAATGCTTCAAATTACACAAAATGTCTGGCTCCGAAACTTTAAATGACACAAAATACCTGGTACTGTGCATTTCAAAAAATGAAGGTGTATGATTGTTTAATTCTCACCTAAATCATGTGTCCGATTAATTCTCATTCTCACATGATGTATGATTGATTCTCACCTGAAATATGATCTTTTTCTCACCTGAAATATGATTCTGAAATATGATCTTTTTCTCACCTGAAATATGATTCTTTCTCACCTAAAGTGGCATGATATGGCGTCTCATTTCTACTACATACATATTACAATACTGATGTGATTTTATTGTGTAATGGATGCAAGTATAAACTTTGATCCTTCATTGAGTTAAGTCTTTGGGTCAAAAGTTGAATGTCTGGAAAAAGGGCTGCATGTTGAAAGGTTAGGGATAAATTATGCTGTTGGATGGGCCATACGATTATAAGCAGGTGGGACGGGATGTAAGAAATTAGAAAAGGAGTTGTTTATGAAATCTGAAGGAAACATATGGGACATTATGGGTTTGTTTGATATTTGTATCAGAGAAAAAAGTAAACCAGTTAATTGGAGACAAGACAAGAAGATATAGTACTGCTGAAGCACATATTTTCACATCTTAACCCTTTCACCCCTATTTAACTTCAGTAGACTCTACCATACATTGATCTGGATGAATCCATTATGGTCTAGAGTGGTGAAAGGGTTAATGTTAACATGAGCAAGTATTACAATGCCTTTCTATTATACTGTAGTTGGTAAGTTCACGTCACCACAGGTTATTCTACCCCTTGGGCAGAGACTGTTGGGTGTCGCTCCCGGAGAACAATAAAAAGCTAGTCTAATTAGGGCGAGTTTAACTGGGAAGGGTAGAAGAGCTAATCAATATGATAAAACCTGATGTTCCAGTCATATTTTTTGATGTTATAGACATCTCAATGAACAAACGGCCAAATGCATGTGTAATGGTAAAATGGTGATGCGTAGCGACTCAAACTTCATGCACAACGGTACTGTTTCGCTCAAAACGCCAGGGGAGAACACTGCTATGGGATTAGACCTACCTTCTCTAGCTGGAGTAGTCGATGCTGTAAGTCAGAAACTTGTATTGTAAGCTGTGTGTTTTGACTGGCACTCTCTTGCACCACAGTTTCCTGAAATACGAAAAACAAATCTAGTTACCTAGATTAGAAAATCGTGTTCTCATAAGAGCTTGAATAGTCTTGAACACAAATGGTTTGACAGTGGCACATCAGCAAAGTAGGGCACAAACGACAGCCTCAACAGTCGTGATGCACAAAAATGATTCGACAGAGGCGTAAGTCGCACATTGCAGTAAATATGAATATATACAGCACAGATATATTTTGATAACAATTTGTGACGACAAAATCAATTCAAACATGTTGTCATAATTGGCAATCTTTTATTGTGACAACTAATACTTCTAGGTATTTTGGGTTCAATCCATGTTGGTTCGGACAAACTTTACTATCGAAAGTCGACTGTTATTCAATAACCTTACACATTAAATGCAGCTCTGCTTTTTTTAAATCTGTTCAGTATCTACAACAAATATTATTCTCTGAGCCCCATTATTCAAAACCTGACTATCTTAACGCGTTATCAACACAAAATTTCAAAATGTGATTTTTTGAGAATCATTTAAAAAATTTCAAATATTCTTTTGTGTTTGTTGTCAAGTATTGATCTTTTGAATCTTTCATTAATCCATTCACCCCTTAAATTCACATTTGAACCTTACCCAATCAAAGACTGGGCAAGTCCAGTTTAAATATGCAGGGAAGAATGAGTTAAGATGTTGTTAATGAAGCTAACTAGGCTTTGATAATCTGAGGCTTGGTGCCAATTTCATTTCACGGCTTAAATAACTAATTGTGAAACATATGACAGGCATTCATTTTCATTTATAAGAACAGCAAAATTTCCTATAGTGCTTTGGGGTTTTAAACCTATCTTCTCAAGTCCTCATAAATAAATTATTTCAAGCAGAACCACGGAAAGCTGTACATTGTGTTAACGAAAACAATTTTTTCTGGTAAGTAAATTCTGCCGTATTGGTGACCGAAAGGCTGGGAGAAGCCAATGGCTGCAATGACGAGATGTGACAGCTAGTAGGTTAGGTTGTGTACGGGTCCCTTCATCACGTAGACTCTTAGCTGTGATTACATTACATCGCCCCTATTCTAAATTAATCCAGGTGAAATATGTAGGCATTGTTTGTGAGATATCTGTTATATACAACAGTATACGTTTTATTGAATCACGTTTTTTGTAAGTCTGATCACTGCACACGTATACAAATCCAATAATGTCATATACACTGTACTTGACAATTTTTCAAAGTTTCATAGGGGAGAAATTAAGCACATGACAGTTAAGTATTAAAAAATGTCTAAAAATCTCGTACTTGGTGAATCAGACCCTTAAATTAACTCATTCACCCCAGTATAGACACATGTAAACTCTTCCAATTCAAAGGTTGGCATATTTCATTGTGAAATTTCAGGGGTGAATGAGTTAATTATGACATTTTTTTGTGTAAAATATCACCGTCTAAATTAATCTTATTTGCATTAGAAATGGAAATGATTGAAGGAGGTGGGGTGGGGGAAGAAAAGATAATTTCTCAAAACATACAAATAACTAATAATTCTGGGTGGAACTCGAGATTCTTTCTCCCAAGATATAAAGGGTGATTAGCAAGTATAAGTAATTTATTTTCCTTGTAAGAAGTTGTTGTAGCATACCTATATATATATACAATACATGATGACGAAAGGAAAATGCGTCAAAATTGGACTGAAACTAATCTTTCTTTCAGCAAATTAATTTCTAGAGTGGCCTACCCTGAGAGTAATAATAGTATAAGTATATGAAATATTCATACCAGCCTGAAGTTATGATCAAACGATATAGAGCTAGAAGAGTTATTTACTCCAACCAGTATATTATTGTACAATATTGATTCTAAAAATAGACTAGTGTGTTTCCCAAAGTTTCATTTTTCTTTTCTTTTTGTTATTTGCATTCTGAACACAATAGGTAAAATCCCAACACCCACAAATTAACTGCATGCTTAAAAAAAAATCAATGAAATCTGTGGTAATAATTTACAATTGTCGGTTATTTGAAATACAACCCGGAGATTTTACTTAACTGTCTGAAATGAGTTTTCCATTTTGTACGAGATTTTTGAAACATTGGTTAAAGAATTTTTCATGAAATTAAACATTCATGTGGAAATGAATTCAACATATTTTTCATCACATCATCCACAATTTTTGTGTACATTGTAATAGAAAATGTCTGTAAGACATAAATGTCACCGATAATGGATGGGACTGAACGGGACGCGACGGACATGGGCAACACTATATGCCCCCCCATTTTATGGCGAGGCATAAAAACACCAAACTAAGTCATTCTTTTATCTAAAATTTGACTTTTTTGACTACACATATTATAATCTATTGTCACAATTGTGATGCTGTCATATACTCGTTATATTTTAGAGGAACTTTATATATATATTCTCCCACCTCTGTGTACAAAAGATTCATGCGTCCCATGTGGAACACCCATATGGGAAACGTGTTTCTCTTACCCTGGACAGGTGTATCCGCACTTTTACCGGTGTGAGATTTCCTTGTCTCCCCCTAGGGTTGAGACGGGGGGATTCCCCAATTCATAACAATGGTATGACGTCCCTTCAACAATACAATGACGTCACGTCAACAATCCATCAACGTCACGTCAACCCTGAATTTAGCATGTAACGTTATCATTACATTGTGTATATGATACACATTGGGAGAACAGGGTAAGAGAAAAAGAATCATTCACCCCCTTGTGGGTAAGATAGGGGAATCTCAAACCTCGGGGAAAGATTCTTAAGTTGCCAAACACTCGGCAAACCCTTGTGTTTTGCAACTTAAGAATCTTCCCCCTCGGGTTGAGATTCCCCTATCTCACCCCCAAGAGGGTGAGAGATTCTATTATTGCCACACCTCAGACAGAGATATCCCACGTCATACCCCATGCTAGATTTTTCTATCTCGTCCGATCTGTCTTGTACCTTTACATGACATTTCGCGGAATTTTTACACTGCGATGAATTCCTCCTCGCGTTAATTGCTTGAAATTGAAATCTGCATTATAAATATTCTGTTTTGTCGTTATATGTAGTTTCAATGTTGTGAAATATCTGATGTTGTAGTGAAAATATAATCTACACTGTGAAATACGTTGTCTTCCTTGTAAGGACAGACTACATTTTTACGCGGAAGCGTTCAAATGCAGCTTTAGTGTATAGTATAAAGGCCCAAGACCTGTAACAATCCCAACCTTGGCTAACACCTCGGTTGGGGTGTTACAGAATCTTAGCCCTCTACTGAGATAATCCGATCTCGCTCACTTACAGGTAATAAATTTTATTAATCCCACAAGGATGCAATCAGTGACATGAAGTTTTATGATGTCACAATCAGATGATGATGTTTTATTATGACGTCACAGCTCAAAACACGTCAAAATTTCATCTGACTGACTGACTGCTGCAAACATGTCATTTGCAAGCGCAGCCACCTCAATAACATAAGAATTGTTGTACCAGCTTGCCGTGACGTTCTTGCATGGATTTTACATCTGATCATGAGGTATACCTACAATTGACAGTCCTTTTTTCTGATCTTTTCAAATATCGCCTCAGTTTCTGTACCTGTTATCTAGAAATTTCCCTATATTTAGTGTTGCAATTGTATCATATCTGTCCTGTTTTACCAAAAGTTTGGTAATGAGGCAGGAGAAAAAGACTCAATCATTATAGTCAGGAATAAATGGATATTATACGCTCAGGTGCAGAATTTGGTGTCGTATCTGCGGCATTTAAAGCCTTGGTTCTGACCTAAATTCTATACCCTTAGGAAAAATATCTATATCCCACAAATTACCTACATAAATATAGACTGTATTAGCATTGTCACAATGTGTAAATACAGGACATTAATAGCATGACATACAAGGAATGTAATACATCTCTATCCATTAGGTACGGAGGCTGGAGTACCACAAGTAATCCCTATTGATCATGGAGAACTGTGTATATAACTTACCAGATGCGTTGTTTTGATTTTTTCTAGTCGTATCTCTTCCGATAATGTTTCACACTCTATCTTCTTCTGAGCAAGCTCTACTTCCTGTAAAATTTGAGAAAAATAATCTGATAGTTTAAACATGGAAATCTCTTTACATCAGTACACATAAATTTTGCGAGGATAAGGAAATGATTATTATGTTTCCTTATTTTGAGAGTGGGTGGTGTGCATTATATTTACAAAACATTAATCTCTACAGGGAACACACATCCCAATACAGAAGCTATAAACATAGTCAAGCTTAATTCCAATTTATACCATAATGAGGTGTCGGAGAAGAGATACCTAATTACACGTCTTTTCAGGAAGAAGTGCACATTTTATTGGGTCGCATAAGGTTCTGTGGCTTAACTAATAACTGCAATACGAAACAAGCTCAAAATTATTCTGTTTACACGACTGTCTTTTTCTTTAAACCACAAATCTTACAAGGAATTTTTGTTCAATGATTTCCTTTAAAAGTATTTTCAAATAGGATTTTATTGCAGAGAAAAGGTCACATAAGGTCACATAAGGTCCCAAAAGGTCACATAAGGTCACAAAAGGTCACATAAGGTCACATAAGGTCACATAAAGTCACACAAACAAATCATGTTATACTGGTTCTGCTTTCTCGGGGTCAAAAAACATTCAAGTTTGATCAAATGGCTTAATTAATAAATAAATACTATGTTTCGTAGCAGAGTTCTAAACAAGCAGGTGTTAAAGATAATCTCAATTATCATGCTCGGTGGATATATCATATGAAATGAAATGGTACCTATACCTACCTTCTCTATCATTGTTTGGCAAGAGATATATAACCACAACAAGTCTTTATTTTTGTTTGACCTCAAAGAACAAGGCCGGAAGGTCATATGATGTCAAAAAACAGAAATGCAACATTATTTTGTTTGGTCTTATACAAAAATGTATCACATATTACGTGAAGTCTGAAACTACACGTAGCAATTAAGTGTTATATTATGCCTAAAAACCAGAAATAGTTTTTATTTTTGTCTTTCATGCATGGATAAATCTTTGATTTTAAAAACATGGAGGCTATTGTATAATGCCTAAGAACCTTCAATTTGTTTTTGCCACCAAAAATAACAAACACTCTGAGGAACTGGAACCATAACATATTTTGGTTTGTCCTATGCTGTGCAAATTTCAATAACAGAACAAGTGTCAATACATTCGATCCGCATTACTGCAACACTTTTCATAACACCTCAACAGTTTTCCTGGGGCAAATTAAGTAACTGACTGGATTCGATGACGAAATATAAACTATTCTTTCTTGTGACTTCCTCAAATTTTTCTTGGTAGAGAGAGGTGCAAAAATTGACAAGAAAGCAAGTAACCTTCTAGAGAATGATTTGTTGAGAATATTGAACGATCAATAGATGGGATCAGTGAAAAGAAAATTGGCCGTTGCCAAGGGCGATTCCGTTCAGACGTCTTGCTCCTGTTCTGCAAGTCGCATCCTATTATTGGGACCGAGATAAAAAAATCTCACGGCTTTTATGAGTGTGGCGAAAATAATTACTATTTTGGTGCAAGATTACTGACTCTTGGTGTCAAGACTAGCAGGTCATTTTCAGGTCGACTTGTCAAGGGCTGTAAAGAACAGGGTAACTGGAGTGTTTGGGTCATTAGGATTATGGTAAAGATTACTGTAATTTGCAGGACTTCCATTACAAAATCATCATTCTATCTTCATTCTATATTAAGGGCTGGTACAATAGTTTCACTCTACATAGTACACTAAGAGTACATTTATGATGGTCGATTCTGTATAAACGGTTTATATGATATAGTCTTACTTTATCTTAAGGACTTGTACATTGTGTCACTCCATACAGTACACTTAAGAGTACATTTAAGACGGTAGATTCTGTATAAACGGTCTATATGAGATAGCCTTAGTTCTATCTTATTTAAGGGCTGGTACAATTGTGTCACTCTACACAGTACACTTAGAGAACATTTATGACGGGTGATTCTGTATAAACGGTCTACATGAAACAGTTTTATTAATCTTGAACAGCTGAACTATGACATTTAAAATGGCAGTGGTTCATAATAGGATGTCTTTTAATAATTATCGTATTTTTTTCTTTCTTACATCAGTAAAACAAAACACTGTTGCTGAATGTAATCAAAAATTGTTTTGTTTATAATTACAGGAACTGATTAATGTTTGGCTGTTGTGGAAAGACCTCATAATTCTTAGTATGGTCTCAATTTATCATCTAGCAGATTTTTCACTTATTTTGTACGAGACATATCACCAAGGGACCCATTGTATGCCTAACAGTAGAAGAACCTACATAATTGCAAAACAGAAACCACATTGATCGATCGTCTAGGATTTCGCTATATCTGAAATACAGCATAACAAACATATATAATCGCGCAAGAACAATTTACGATCATGTGTGAAGAAAATCAGACCAACAATATTACCAGGAGCTTCAACCCAAAAGGTTTCAGCCAATCAGAAGTCATGGTGGCCATCTTGGATTGTGGGATCTGTATATCATATGTCCTTTTCACCATGTGAACTTCTTCAAGAAGTTTAATTCAGTGAGGCTATAATATTTTGCTGTTGTCTTGATCAGAGCTTAGTTCTGGGATTAAATTCTACACAACATGACTGTAGGTAAAACTGTCACTCTTGATCACAAGAGTACGTTTGTATTTGGGGGATGGGTTTTATTTAACAGGTAAAGTAAAATGCGATTTTGAATAGTTGTTTTAGTATCTTCATTATTCAGCAGTAAATAGGTGTAAACAGATTTTTTTCAGTTGTGTCTGTAGATCTAATATTCACAGAGATTAAAACTAATAGGTATTTCATTGTGTGCTTACTTTGGTGACCAAAACTCTAACAAAATATTACCAACTAGACAGTATATTGCACCTTTCATGTTGGTCGATATATCCACCAAATACCACTAACGGGTCAGAAATGGCAATCCAATATCTTTCTGACAATATTATCTTCCTGTTCTATTTTTGGTAACAGTGGCCATGACCTTTAAAGAACAATGTTAAACCTCCCACTGCACATCTGCATATAACAGTATGTCATCCTGTAAAATAACTGGAATCTTAAAGATTCCTGAATTCTAAGCTAATTAATATTCGGAAATTAAAGTGTGGACCAACAAACATTCTGAGGCACAATATAATTACTATAACCCTAAGTTCACCCCTATGCAACTTTAGTAGACTCTCCCATGCATTAATCTGGATGAGTCCATAATGGTCAACAGTGCATGGTTAAAGGGTTAAAGTACTTGCAGTTCTGATACCAAGTCCAAATAATTAACTACCAGTGACCGATTGGTTAATTCACCTTTCAGTAACACTACACTGGTATTAAGCCTTAATCGTGTAATAGAGTGTTTTTTTCATAAAATTTTATTCGACATCATGTTTTAAACAAAACAACCTTAGCCTAGTGAAGCTATGAACTTTAGAAAATAAAAAAATATGAGTCTTCTAAACAGACAAAGAGAGAAAAAAAGATTGGAGACTTTAAATGACCTTGACCTTTAGGAACTTCTAAAAGTAGACATCATTTACATAAACCGGCTCAGGTAATTATCGTCATAGTGACAGGATGGCATCTCGTGAACACACGAACTTAACTTATTGTTTGTTCGTACTTACCAGACGTTCCGTTTCGGATTTGGCCTTTTCAAGTCGGGAGATCTCTTTTTCCAATGCTTCATTGGTCACCTCCAATTCTTTGAGTTTCTTCGCTTCGGCCTGAGCACCCTGGAAGACAGGAGAGACAAAATCAATATGTGACGACAACAAATACCCGTGCCGGGAGATCCGTGGTGGGAACAAGTGCAAACTGCAGCCGAGCGAAATTTTAAACTTGGTATGCACTTCCCAAAGCTTGTTAATGTTCTAAAACTGAGCTTATGATGTGGAAAGTAAGAGAAACATATACTAAATGGCTAAGTACAGCATACGCGAGGGATTTGGACTTTGGATGTCGATGGTATGTGAGAAATTTCCTGTCCATCGAAAGACTAAATCAATACTGAATACGATTTAGCTTGACGAAAAAACGAATTCAGTTTCAGAGGCACATTCCCAAATAAAACCAATTAAAGCTGCAGAGTAAATGGTCTTGTTGGCTGCAATTTTTTTTTTTTCGTAAGTACCAATGCTGTAGAGGAAGGCTGCCTTTCACGGACAATTCAAATAAAACCTTCGCAACTGATTCAATTACAGATAATTTGACTTGATTATTTTATTTTTTTGCTCCTGCTGGTTTTCAAAGTACCGGTAGGCACCTCTGAAGATATTCAACTGGATTTTAAAGACAAAAAAGGAAATTTGCCTGAAGTAGCGGGATGGTTGGTTTTAGAGATTACTTTGTTTGCGTCATTTCCTGTTGTTCTAGGGAGCTAGCTAGCTGGAAGCAAGGAAGGTACAGGGACACTGCAAATCCATCATCGTAACAGGGGATAATTGAAACATGAGGGGAAAATGCAAAATAATTCTGCAAAATTCATTTCCGCATAATTCATCAGAACTGTCACCATGACAACAGGAACCATTGTCACTTTATTCAGATAACACTGATATCTTTTACATCAGCGTAAATCAAGAAAAAACCGAAATAAATTCAGCTATGTACGTGTCGCCCATTTGAGGATGGGTAACTTGTACTATAAACATTTCATATCTAAGGTAAAGGGTACTTCTGCATCAATTATAATTGTGAGGATTTTACCTTGAGTAATCTCCTTTATATATGTCCAATATGAAGCAAGTTTTTCTGGCTTAGAGTAACTTCCCCTGTCAATCAAGTTATGCATAATTCAATGTTTGTTGTTTTTCATAGGATTTCCAACTAATGAATTGGACATTCAGTTTAATGCTGTGTAATTAAAGCTCCATAAAGGTAAAGGTCCTGAGTTTGACACCTAAAACCTGTTTCCTTTTTTTTTTTTTTTTTTTTTTTTTTTAATT